TTTCTTTCTTTCTTTCTTTCTTTCTTTCTTTCTTTCTTTCTTTCTTTCTTTCTTTCTTTCTTTCTTTCTTTCTTTCTTTCTTTCTTTCTCTTTTCTTTTTCTTTTTGGACAGGGTCTCATTCTGTTGCCCAAGCTGGACTACAGTGGCGTGAGCTTGGCTCACTGCAGCCTCAACTCTCTGGACTCAACTGATCCTCCCACCTCAGCCTCCCAAGTAGCTAGGACTACAGATGTGCACCACCATGCCTGGCTAATGTTTTGTATTTTTTGCAGAGATGAGGTTTTGCCATGTTGCCCAGGCTGGTTTTGAACTCCTGGGCTCAAGCAATCCCCCTGCCTCAGCCTCCCAAAGTGCTGGGACTACAGGCGTGAGCCTGTACCAGTCCATGTTTCTAATTCTTGGTTAACAATGAAATTTGGGGCAGTTACTTTCCAGATTGCTACTGGAGATGTCACCCCAGTAAAGGGCAGATGTTATTATGAACTCAACAAGGACACATATATCATGAATATTTTGCTAATAATAATTTACCCCAGTTTATCTTTGAGCAAGAAAATATGTCTCTGGATATTTTATATTTACTGGGGGAAAGAAAACTGAGAACATTTGGGGCTAAATGTTATTTTTTAAACTGTTATTATTATTTCCGATGGATAAATTTACTTACAAACTACATCATGCAATACTTTGGAGTGTTTCTGGGGAATTTTGGGAAACATCTCTGGAAAGACCACACTTCCATCCAGAATAGGTAAGAATAACTAAGAACTTAAAAAACAAAATTATCTTTGATCCTGTTTAAGTGGTGATGTTAGTAAGTTGTAGCAATTTCCTGTCAGTCCTTAAAGTCAGGTAATGACTACAACCAGTTTTGGGGGTTTTCTATGTGCTAGATATCATGCAAAACACTTCAAATACACCCCTTTTAATAGTTAGAACAACTCCGAAAGGTGTTATTATCACACTCATCTTACACTTGATAAAACTGAGATTTAGGCTGGGCGCGGTGGCTCACGCCTGTAATCCCAGCACTTCAGGAGGCCAAGGTGGGTGGATCACCTGAGGTCAGGACCAGCCTGGCCAACATGGAGAAACTCCGTCTCTACTAATAATACAAAAATTAGCCAAGCGTGGTAGCACATGCCCGTAATCCCAGCTACGAGGGAGGCTGAGATGGGAGGATTGCTTGAGTCCAGGAGGCAGAGGCTGCAGTGAGCCGAGATGGTGCCACTGCACTCCAGCCTGGGTAACAGAGCAAGGCTCTGTCTGAAAAAAAAAAAAAAGCTGAGATTCAGAGAGGTATGTCACCCAACTTTTAAATGGCAAAACTGAGATTAAACCTAGGTATACCATTCTTCTAATGTCAGTGGGAACTACTTAGTTTGCTTTGACTGCTTCTCCACTGCTGAATATGGTGCTGCTATTTCTAGTTCGTAGACACTCACAGACTTGTATAGACTGGTCTATTCTATCCAAATAACTAAATCTTTGAGGCTTCTCTTATTCTGCCCTTTCCCCATAGATAAAGCCATGACTTAGCTTTCATATAGTCAGTGTTAAAATGTCAAGGCCGTTTTTATGCCAATAACTTTCCACTTCTTTCTAAGAATGTATTTATTATCGATTAGCTTGTCTGTTGATGAACTGTCTAGGAACATGAGTTATCAGTGTTGGCTCATAGTTAAGTCATATGGCAACCTCCCACTAGCAACTATCACTTATGGGCACAGGAGTAGAAAACACAGTTATTCCTAGATCTATAAAAACATCTGAATGCTCTTGGGTTCACTTGCCAGAATTAAGCAGATGGGATATGTAAACATACCTGACGGCCTTCATCGTCATTTGTATATACCAGAAAGTGGACTTCTTATAAAGGTTTAGTTATCGGCCTTGCACTGCTACTGTATTCGAACACTTCTGAAAGGATTAGTTTAGCAAAAACAGCTTTGGGAAACCGCAAATTTTGAGCTCCAATCATGGGAAATGTGATTGATGAGAAAGATAGCTCTTCTACAGTTGTCAAACATTTCTTGACTATATTTGCCATGATCTGAAATGTGCAAAGTACATTTACATAAGTTAGGGCTTAAGTTGGTGGAAAACAAAGAGTTGTGGTCCCAGCAACTCTGACAAGGACCTCTTTGCTATTGTTGGCTTAATCAGGGCCTGAGAAGTCAGAAAGAGGAAACAAAAACAGGGCAGAGTACTTTCCAGAGAGAGTAACACTCATTCAGGACAGGCGGGTCCACAGTGTGGGAATGGCTGCATAAAAATGGTACCTCAATGCAACTAAAAGTGGTGTTTATGAAGAATCTTTAACAACATGCAGTATTTATGTTAAGTTTAAAAAAGAAAAAAACAAAAACAAAAAATGGTATTTAAAAATGTTTAAAGAGAATATTGGGCCAAAAGAAGAAGAAGGAAAAAAAGATAATATTGGGCCTAACACGGTGGTTCACACCTATAATCCCAACACTTTGGGGGGCCGTGGTGGGCAGATAGCTTGAGCCCTTGAGTTCAAGACCAGCCTGGGCAACATGGTGAAACCCCATCTTTATAAAAACACAAAAATTAGCCAGGGATGGTGGTGTGTGCCTGTTGTCCCAGCTACTGGGGAGGCTGAGGTAGGAGGATCACCTGAGCCCAGGAGGCAGAGGTTGCAGTGAGGTAAGATTGCGCCACTGCACTCCAGCCTGGGCGACAGAGTGAGACCCTGTTTCAATTAAAAAAAGAGAGAGAGAGAATCTCAACTAAGAAATAAATATGCTGTCCAGTTGCAGTGGCTCACGCCTGTAATCCCAACACTTTGGGAGGATGAAGCAGGCAGATCACCTGAGGTCAGGAGTTCAAGACCAGCCTGACCAACATGGAGAAACCCCATCTCTACTACAAATACAAAATTAGCCAGGTATAGGGGCGCATGCCTATAATCCTAGCTACTTGGGAGGCTGAGGCAGGAGAATTGCAAGAACCCGGGAGGCAGAGGCTGCAGTGAACCAAGATCGTGCCATTGCACTCCAGCCTGGGCAACAAGAGCAAAACTCCATCTCAAAAAATAAATAAAGAAATATGCATGAAGTCATAAAGTTGACTTGAAGGAAATATAGTAAAATGTTAACTAAAGTTACCTCTTAAGGCCAGGCACAGTAGTAGCTCATGCCTGTAATCCTGGCACTTTGGGAGGTCGAGGCGGGTGGATCACTTGAGGTCAGGAGTTTGAGACCAGCCTCGCTAACACAGTGAAACCCCGTCTCTACTAAAAATACCAAAATTAGCTAGGCCTGGTGGTGGGTGCCTGTAATCCCAGCTACTCAGGAGGCTGAGGCAGGAGAATCACTTGAACCCAGGAGGCAGAGCGGAAGTTGCAATGAGCTGAGATGGCGCCACTGCACTCCAGCCTGGGTGACAGAGCAAAACTCTGTCTCAAAAAGAAGAAGAAAACAGTTATCTCTTGATGGTTGGATTATTACTTTTATTGTCTTTTTGTACTTTTCTATATTTTCCACAATGTAATTGTATTACTTTTTTATATTCTGAAAAAAAGTTGGGAAATTAAAGTGGGAGTGGAGGTGGGAATGATGTTATCGAAAGGGCACTGACTCTTTTTTATTCTTCACCACAGTGCTGTGCACACCTCTTTGCTATACTGAAAGATTATTACATTACATCTTAGACACCCCTCCTGTAGAATCCCAGTGACTGTTACTACTTCTGAGGGTCAATTACTCGGAAATAACTGGTAGTTGTGATGGATTCTCCATGGAATGTAATAAAGATTGCAATAGACAGACAGGGTTCAATCAATACAGGGTTTCACAGCCTAGGGCAGACACTTCTTTGTTGTGGGGACTGGTGTGTGCATCATAGGATATTTGGCAGCATCCCTCGCTTCTACTCACTAGATGCCAGTAGCAGTTGTAACAACCCAACTGTCCTCTGTAGGGCAAAATTGCCTCCCTTCAGCACAGATCTACACCACACCAGAAGAAGATTCCCAAAGCTACCAAGTGAGGTGGAGAACTAAGAGCGTTCCCTACCTGCCAAGAAGTCCCCGCTCCATTATTCCAATCTGGAGCCACGGCATGGAGCACAGCTTTGCAGTCCAGATTGCAGCCACTTGTCATGAATATGTTACCCACTTTTTCCTCTGTTTCCCGCCTGCTGTCATCTAACTCTTTCTGGAGCATGGGACCAGCTTTCTGCAAAAATGCCCGAGATAGTGGTCCTCCTCCAAGCTGAAGATTCATGGGAACAGTGTTGACAATGACATCAGCCTTAACGAAAATAGCAACAGAGATTGAGTCAATAATACATAATGACTGAGCACCTGTAAATTTACTGAGTATTATGGGCAAATGTACAGGTATGTTTTGCCTGTCATACTAACATGTCATCCCCACCCTCGAGGAGCTTACAGTCTATTGTTAGCACTGAAACACCATGATGAGGTCATTTCTAAAACTTAGACATTAAGGAAATATATTTACCACTGCTGTGAAATCAAACATAATGAGTCAGAGTAGAGCTATGAAAATGAGTCAGAGAACAGAGGCAGACAGTCAAAGACTGAGAGAGAGAAATGGAGAAAGAAGAAAAGTGAAAGTGAAAAACAGAGACAGAGACAGAGAGAAACAAAAACACAGAAAGATTGAGACAGAGAGACGGGAAGGGAGAAAGAATTGCTCTTAGGCTGGCAGGAACTGAGAATATTTATTTTGAATTTAACAATATACCAAAAGAAAGACTAGGTCGATGTAAAGGAGGGTATGGTCGACCCTGAAGGCCTTGGCAAAGGAAAATCACTAAGGTGAGGGTAGGCAGTATCCATTCTAGCCTGTCCAGGGATATCGAGTTCTCCAATGTCAATGCTAAGGCTGTTCATTTGGTGAAATGAGGGTCATAGCCTAATGCCATGAGATGTTACATATTCAGCCCGTAACTCCTATTAGTCAGATTTTGTGTTCACCAGAAACCTTCTGATTCGCTGGTAATTTGGGAGTAGGAGGAGACAAACACTCTCATGATGTGGCTTATTTTAATTTTAATTTTTATTTGTTTATTTATTTACTTTTTTGAGACACAGTTTCGATCTGTTCCCCAGGCTGGAGTGCAGTGGCATGATCTTGGCTCACTGCAGCCTCTACCTCCCAGGTTCAAGCAATTCTTGTGCCTCAGCCTCCCAAGTAGCGGGAATTACAGGCATGTGCCAGCATGCCTGGCTGATATTTGTATTATTAGTAGAGATGGGGTTTCGCCATGTTGGCCAGGCTGGTCTTGAACTCCTGACCTCAAGTGACCTGCCCACCTTCGCCTCCCAAAGCGTTGGGATTACTGGAGTGAGCCCAGCCTGATCATGTGGATTTTGGTTGTCCTGGTTCTTTGGGGACTCTTCTTCATGGTAAATTAAAAGATGTCTATGTCTCTGAGACATATAATAGGTTATATTTCTCAACTTAATAATTAGCTTTCTTGGGTCCACTTACATAATGTTAGTTAGCATATGAGCTATTATATGAAGTTAGCATAAACCAATGTCAAGATCTGAGAAGCCCCCTGCAGAGACAAGAATGAGCAAGCCATCCAAGAAACAAAACAAAACGAAACAAAATTGATCTAGCCCATGTTCTCCTCACTCCCACTTGCAGTTTCACTCTCTGTTTACTGATTCCTACACAGTTTGGGGAAGCAATATATTAACATGTAAAACATAGGCCAGGCGTAGTGGTTGATGCCTGTAATCCCAGCATTTTGGGAGGACGAGGCAGGAGGATTGCTTGAACCCAGGAGGTCAAGACCAGCCTGAGCAACACAGTGAGACCTTGTCTCTACAATTAAAAAAAAAGGAAAATTAGCTAGTGGCCTGTATTCCCAACTACTTGGAAAACTGAGGTGGGAGGATTGCTTGAACCTAGGACATTGAGACTGCATTGAACCGTGACTGCACCACTGCACTCCAGCCTAGGTGACAAGGCCAGACTCTATCTGGAAAAAACGAACAATGGAAAAAGTAACTTGTCATAACGTTTAAATCAATTCAAAATAATCAGAAGACATGGTTAAATATACAAATATTAGTTGGTATAGAATTTCAAAAAAGATAGGAAAATATTTAGATTGGAATAGTGAGTGAAGACTTTTTAAAGGGGATAAGAATTTGAGATAGGCCTTGAAGAATGGCTGTAATTGGGTCAGGTAGAAAGAAGGCAGCAAGGCATTCAAGGTGTGTGGAATAGGATTGTGACCGGGTGTGGTGGCTCACACCTGTCATCCCAGCACTTTGGGAGGCCAAGGCAGGCAGATCACATGAAGTCAGGAGTTCGAGACCAGTCTGGCCAACATGGCAAAACCTGGTCTCCACTAAAAATACAAAAATTAGCTGGGCGTGGTGGTGGGTGCCTGTAATCCCAGCTGCTTGGGAGGCTGAGGCAG